GTTCGACTTATAACTATTGGACCTATTGAATTTTGACAGTAAAAACGCGCCATATATAATACATGTATTAAAATTCGCGCAGTAGCTACTAGAATTGGCGCAAGTAAAGATAAAGCGTGCGTTAAAAATACCACTGGCAATGAACAAGGACTAAGACATTTGCAGGGACGCCGGAACGATAATAGGGCAAAGGGGGGCGGACGCACACCAAGGGCACCTTTACTGAAAATTTTTTTTTCACAAAAATTGCAACATTTTTTGGCGACGGGGGGCCAAAAATTTTGGCGACGGGGGGCCAAAAATTTCCGTGAAGCCAAAAAATTTTCCGGACACCCTAAATTTTCGCCATTTCTTCAAAATATTTTTCTAAATTCCAAAAATTTCCCAAAATTTTTATAAATATAAACTATAAATTACCTGAATCTCGTGATTTTCCTACAAAAAGCATCGTTGGAAATGTGATTTATCACGTATTATTTTACAACTAAAAGGGCACTTCTACCCCCCCTGCCCCCCTAGCAAAAGGCAAGGGGGGCAGCCGCCTCCCCTGCCCCCCCAGTTCCGGCGTCCCTGGACATTTGTTACGAAATCTGCTACAAAATGTCGACAATATAGCACACAGTGTTGGATTTTTCTCATGTGCCTAATGTAGCATAACACATGAGTATTAAAATTCATGCGGTAGCTACTAGAATATTCGCGCAGCGCTGGGTGCGCAAAATTGCAAAAAGCCGTTTGTGGTAGCTATAGTAAATACAAAATTTATGCTACAAGGGTCAAGGTAATAAATGGGAAATGAACTAGCTATTTTAAAACTGTAATGTATGATGATTCTTTTGAGATAACAATGAGAAGATGAAGCGAACAAAGAAGAAAAATTCCAGTCGGCGGCCAAAAAGGCCGTTTGCCGTGAAGTTTAAATTGCCCTGTTAGTACATTTGGTACAATTGCCCTGTTAGTACAGTGCGGGCTAGACACATTCATATACCTAGATTGCAATGTTCGTTAGAATGTTTGTCGCTCATCCGACAAACATTTTGGTGCTCATCCACAAAGTGCAACTCCAGTTGTTCATATAGATCTACGGTGCGTGTTTGTAAACAATATATTAGCAAATATCACTGCGATGAACTGTTCTTTTAATGAGTTAAAACGTCACTTTTGAGCCAGAGACTTTTCGGATCTTAAAATTTAAAGGTAAATAAGCTTTTTTCTTGTAAAATAGCATCCTCAAATGCTGTCTGTGTGTTCCAATTAACACACTATGCCGCATTGGTTTAGGAATTTTAATAATTGTCAAGGGGAGAGCTTGCAATATGTCTCAAACTCGTACTTCACAAATATGCACCCAAATTCACTCTAGTTTAGTACTTTGTTGTTTTAATCTGTGTTACACTATGCCACATTGGTTCAGTGTGCAATGTTGCTTTTACTTTTGTCATCGCTTTTGTCTTTGTGTATATACTTTTGTCGTGGTTCACTGGTTTTTGTCTTTATATAAATTGTGTATAAAATTATGCCAGATTGACAGGGTGAGAGCTTTCAAATATGAATATATCTTGTTAAACTGCTACAATGCACCCAAATTGACCCTACATTGTTGTTTTAATCCCCGAGCCGACGGCGCGAAGCGCCGTGCGAGGGTACTAGTTCCCCCCGGCTATTTACACCCGGGGAAACGAAAGCATTAGCCAAGTCTAAAGTTCATCAATGAGCGCGGGCGTGGGTTACCGCGAGTGGTTCGGTGGGTGGTCATCCTCACTGATCTCAAAAATATTGCGGACTGTGATAAATAGCGGACTCTGATTGGTCCAATTTAAAGTTTGCATTATAACAACTGCATGACGACAGCGAAATAGCAAACATTTCTTGATTTGATGATTGATAAACTTCTTGCAAATATATTCATTTTTGCTGGCATTTTTGCAAGATTTTGTAAATTTCAAAAGCTTTCTCTGAAAGAAAGGGTGAAAGAATCGGCTAAAAGAAGGGAGCCGACGTTAACGAAGGTAAGTTTGTTTTAAATATTGATTATATAACTGCTTTAAAACCCGACGGCCTTTGCTTATATGAAACAACTAAACAGGGCAGCGTATAATTTCTGTGTATCTTTAATATTGATTCCCTTTTTTACTATATTAAATTTTTTAAATTAAAAAGAAAGCAAAGTTATTTGCATGCGAGAATTTGAAATCATTTTATTGCAAACTCAACGTTTATCGATAAAGCCATTTCATTAAAGGCAGTTTAGTTTTATAATGAACATTTTAAAACGTTTGGCGAAGCGTTTGTGGTTGAGTTTTAGCTTAAATTGAAGCTTATATTACGTATAATATCATACCTAACATATATATGTTCGGAAATTGACAATTTTGCAAATTAAAAGTGATATTTTTAGGCGATTTTTCATTTGTAACAATGTTCTTAAAAAAATATCGTACGTGTTACCATGACAACAACTTTAGATATTTCATGTTCGGAAAATACAATGTTTTTTTTGGTTATCCCTTAAGTTGCAATATATGCAAAAAATTATGCACCAGATGATCTTACTTGATAACACTAAACAATTTTACTTGTAGAGCCAGTTGTTCAAATCAGGATTAGTGCTAACGCAGGGTTAAAAGTCAATTACCATGGCAATTGCTGTTTTGGTTTGTGTATTTCTGTATGCCTGTGTCTAATGCCAGACCATTTTACTTGTCAAAGGAAAAGTGTGGATGTTAATGGGTTAAATCAAGATTCAGCTGAATGGCTTTTTATAGTTGGTCGTTGCAATATATGCCGAAATGCACCCTACTTTGTTCTTTTATTTTGTTTAATGCCAGATGATTTTACTCATTAAAACTTAGCTAGACAATTTTACTTCTGCAGCCAGGTGTTCAAAGCAGGATTAGCACTAACCTTTGGTTAAAATTCAATTACCCATTTGTTTTGCAGTGGCAAACACTAGGGGGGCAAAGGGCACCCCACCCCTCCAATATTTTCTCTAAGCCTTTGAATAATAGCTGATTAACTGTGTAACAAAACTGTATCAATGATTTTACTATCATAAAATCCTTGATAGGCTATAGTAAGTGCATGATTTTTAAGCCAAAAGGGTTCTAAGAATAAAAGATTTGCGACAATAAATGGGTGGTTATATCTTGGTAACCTAATCCTCAAGCTCCTAACCACCAATATTGTGTGAAGTGCCTGCCAAAGTACTTATACATGTATTTTCTCTGTAATTTTTAGATTTTGCAAACTGTTCAATTGTGAAGAGTTGCCGACACTCCGAAACCAACGTGTTTACACCGACCAATTTCTAAAAATATGTTATTTTATGTTATTTAATTAATTAAAGAGTATTATATGACTTTCAACTTACAAATGTGTTGAGGATGTCTTGACTTGAAAATTAATTAGTTTGCATGCACATACTTTTATACACATAGTCGCGAATTAACACAGACAGTGGTCTGTGAATTAACACAGACTTGCCATGGGCGAGTGATCGCGCGCACACACCTCCACACATGCTTCGAATCATTGTAGTGCGCAATTTACCACGCGCCTTGGTCCGTATTAATTAATTACATGTCTACATTTGGAATATTTGGAATGGAACTTGCAATTTCCCAAGTTGCTTACCTATAAATTACTGAAGTGCTATTAAGCACAATGTGAAATTGCTGGTTTTCAAAACCTTGGTTCTTTTCTCGTAACTTTTTGCGCCCATATTTTTAGTTAATTTAAATCATGCAGGAAGGAATTTGTCCGTTTTGCAACCACACGCCTGGCATTAATATCACGTGCCTGTAAAATGCATTTGGCCAGGCCTGACTAACTGATTTGGCGCATTCAAGTGTGCCAAAATTCGTTAGTAACAAATTTTGGTTAGCCACATGTACGCATTGCGTACCTATTTTTTTTATTTGTTTTCCAGTCCAAATGACAAACTATTATTTTGATGGCCGCCAACACGGCTGGGACCTTGGGAATGAGTGCAAACGCTCTATAATAGCGCATGTGAGCAGGAGTCTGACTATTCATGCCGCCATCTTGATGAATATTCGTATATTCGATGATTATTCGAGCTCTAACCACAAGTTTACGTATACATACTAGGCTACTGGTTGTACGAAAGGTGGATAAATCGCTATCCAGCGGATAAATTTTATCCGGAGAGAAAATAGCGTTGTACGAAGCTTGGATAGCGCTATCCAACGAATAAACATGCATTATCCGTTGGATAAATTTATTCGAGGTCCGGAGGTAGTTTAAATCCACTATCCGGTGAATGAACTCAAGTTTGAAAACAAAACAATGTGTATTTCATTTAAAAGGAATTGCTATTATGATAGAAATGGAGAAATACTATTTAGAAGTCCCTTTTTTGACACTAAATAAACATGGAAACTTACTTATGACTTCTCTTGCTCTTGACGTACACCGACCTCACTTTGAGTCACTTGCCCATTAAATAATGCAATGACTTTACCATATTTTACACAGATCAGTGTTAGTGCTTAGACGTTAAGTTTTCTGGCTTTTTTCCTTCCTTTTTTCAATTATTATATAGCTCGAAAACAAGCAATAAAATTAAATGAGTTCCCTTCAACGCCAAACAAATATAGCTACATATATAAAATAGACAACAAGGCGCCGAAAGTCGAAAAATATTGTTCGCTGGCCTTGATCAGCCAATCAAATCTTGCGAGAAAATGTTCTTAAAATTGTTTTGAATGAAGTGAAAGGTCAAAAAACAAATATTCGGACCGACAGTAATCACACAGTGTATAAATTAAAACTGAATCAACGTACTGAAACAAGAAAACAAAACTCGCAGTCTTTGCTATTACCTTCGCTTCGCATAAAGAAGCCAAAAATCTTAGAAATATCGATAAGTAGATATTAAACTCTTCACTGTGGGGAAACGAAGTATTGAAACGATTGGACGAGAAAAACTGCAAATATAAACATGAACAAAAAACCTTTATTGCAAGTTGATAGTTCAAAGGTTAGTGGAATTCACAAGTTATACGCAGATACCACAACAAAAGTTTATACAAATACCTAGCAACAGCTGACGTAGAGATAAGAAATTTCAGGAAAATCCGATTTTCTCCAGTTAAAATTACGGTTATCCGAGGGATAGCTATCCACCCTACTATCCGTGCTTCGTACAACGCAATTTTATTCGATCGGCAGTTAATGAAGTTTAATATGTTGAAATAACTGGCATCCAAACCGCAGTTTGAAAAAAAAAACAAGAAAAACGCAAAACAAAAATACGCAGCAGACAGGTTTTTGTGCCATATATTATTGGCAAGGAAGTGCTCGAACGATCTAGAGGCTCTCGCTAACCTACGTTTTACCTAGAGGAACAGGCAGACCTCTAGATTGCGGAGGGAGTGACGCGGCTCTGTGCATGTTGTTCAGCGACATATGAGTCCTGATGGTCTGGGGACCACCATTGGTATACTGAGACAGTATGGGTACTCAAGACCTGACAGAGCATGCAAAAACTGTAGGTTTTTCATAGAGGAACAGGTGAACCTCTAGATAACAGGGGAACAGGCGAACCCCCGTCCAGGCCAGTCAGCTCGTTGATGTTGAGTACTAGTTGAACTGATGAACAACTGATGCATGGTAACTCAACTGAAATTACTTACCCATCGAGTCTCCACGTCAGGTCATTAGGTCGCACTGCGACCTGAATGACCTGTAAAAATACACTTCACGTGGAGAAGTGTTGTCCAAAAGGACAGCACTTCCCTGCCATTATTTATTTATTTCATTCTGCAATTCTGGTACAGATGTATAAGTAATATATTTACATAAATGATTAAGCAATTAGGCTGAATTGGATTGTATAGATCGAAAGCATGTCGATCTATAGATAGTATAAGCAGGCAGGTTCGGCTCTGGGGTGGTGGGTGGTTTTTTTTGTATACCAGATTTTGGTAGCTTAGCTCTGGTTAGAATATTGCGAATGAGGCGTGAAGCAAATAGTCTGTAACTAAATGTCTTCCACTAAGAATGGGGCCATTGTATTGTTGCGACGGATATATTTAAGAAGAGTTGATTGATTAAAACCAAGTGCATCACTTGTTCACGTGCTGTTGCCAAGGTTCAATCTCTTTTGGCAGCATGATTAGAAAGTAATGCCTTGTTTTCCAAGTGCAGTAGTTTTGATGACACATTGGTATTTCCATAAGGCATATAGAGTCTTCTTTGACATATTGCTTCATTAACCACAATTTATTGCATTTCATGTATAGGTTATGGGTAAATATCAAGATATTTTGTGGCACCTCACTCGAATGAATAATATTTGATGGGTATTGTAGATTGAAATTGTCGAGTGAAAATTTATATGTATATATCCATTAGGAATGGCCTTTGATATAACATTTAAAAAAACCTTAGTCTTATCTAGATAAAAAGCGCGTCTAATTATAACGCAGCTCTACTGCCAGTTGCGCGCGTCGTATATCTTACGTAAGATCTGAAAATGGCTCATTTCAAAAAACATCCAAACCTCTTCCACGGAAGAAGTTGGAAGTTAACGCTTCCATCTCTTACGGACGTCCTAGTATATTTTACTATTACCATAAATGCATGTCCCCCTGCGTGCTGGACGACAGAAATTTCCTCTGTGGAGTGATTGTGGATATTTTTGGGGACGACCCAATCATTCGGCCATACAAACCTGAATTGTAAGGCACGATCAAAAAGTTTTGTTCCTAAGTTCCAGCAGTTCAAGTTCTGAGTTGCCGTGATTATATACATAATAAATAATTACATGTTGTTTTCCGTGTGATCACATGTATGATAATCATAGATCTATAATGTAACTATAAACTCTGTATCAAATATACGACAAAATAGGTAGCCTTGTTAAACTGCTTCTAACCCCAAATATGATTTTTGGTATGTGTAATATTGGTATGATAGATTTCTTTAAATTGAGATTTGTTTATTTTAAATCGTGTTTTGAATCGTTTTAGTTAATAAACGTTTACATTTGAACATTCACGATAAAGCAAGTTCAAAATCATTTCAAAACCAGTCCGTGTTTAAACATACTTCCATATTTCTTACTTACATTCATACTTTCATGCATATTTCAATTCATTTTAACAAATTGGTAGTGGTGACATTTGTTTTTTTTTGACAGGATGGCACAATTCAAATGGATCCTATAGTTTCGACGGAAAAAAATTGAACGCGAAGAAAATCGTCAATTTTAATTTCATATTTGCAAGTAGGCTACGGCAAACGTGAAACCGCTAACGGCAAACCGCGGTTTGCGGTTAGGCGTAAATAAAATAAACGTCAATCTTAAGGTATCTATTACACATCCCGAAGCTAAGTCTCAATAAAAATAACAAAATAATACAACAAACTCAAGTTTAACCAAAGTTTAAATTAAATTAAGCCCAGTTTAAGACCACCTTAAATTAAAGTTTAACCAAATATGGATGAATACGTTTTACTCCAGGATGTAAATCCTAAGTGGGATTTTAAAGCTGATTATTAACGTAAACCGATAAATGGTAAAGGGATTTACAATATATACCTTAATTCTAATTCTTAACAAGAATATATAAACTAATTTAAATGAAGGAGACTGAAATTTTCTTTGTTACATTGTAGTGTTGTAGTTTGGTGCATGTATAATGTACATTGATACACACGTATATGCCCACATCGGAAATGGCATGATCGATGGCTATCTGCACATCTTAAATTGCAACATATTTGTATCAAAGGCATAGTAATCACTAGTAAACTTACTTTTTGTCCAGTAATCTCAATTTTAAGAAATTGTATAGAAATGCAAAGAAAGTTTAAACACGATTTAGCAGTCTTCATGAAAGATGCCTGGAAAAGAACCTGCTTGGCATGATTATAATTTTACTGACATAGGAAATGTAAACATGGCGATTTTAACTGCGACACACTAAAACATTGCACTATGTGACACACATTATTTTATAGTACTGTCATGTGATGGCAGTAAAATTGCAGTAAAGGTGGCTTGCTACACTTTTTAAAAATTAAAGATTTTCTGATTTGGATATGAATTTCTGGAGAATGATTATTTGTTTAAAAACAAAGCCTATCTGACTGTTACAACACAATAACTAAGGAGTTCGGAATTTTTAAAAAAGTACTCCTAACTGCCATTGCTATGGCAACAATGACGTCACAACATTGCGCATATTTTATGTTTAAAGTAATTTTAACTCAAAAAATTTCGGTGACTCCCATTTTTTATTTCACAAAATCAATTCTTTTAGTATTTTGAATTATTTTCATGATTTAAAAAAAATGTATCATAGCAACATTTTTCTATCTTGGAAAATTTCGGCATGGCAGAATTTTTTTAAAATCATGAAAATAATTTAAAATACCAATAGAAATCATTTTATGAAACAAAAAATGGGGGTTGCCGAGGTTTTTTTCGAGTTAAATTGCTTTAAAGATAAAATATCCACCATGTTGTGACGTCATTGTTGCCATAGCAACGGCTGCTAGCAGTAACTTTTGAAAAATTCCGAACTCTTTAGTTACTGTGTTATGCCCGTCAGACACTCTTCGTTTAAGTAATAATTGTCCAAAAAATCATACCAAATCCGAAAAAACTTTAATTTAAAAAAGTGTAGGGAGCCACATTAAATGTATTTGTCAGGAGCGAATAAAAGAAAATTTGCATAATCGTTTCTGATGAACTAATTAGCCTCTTTGCATTTATATACATTTTTTGTATTGCATGTGCATGCCTTTAATAAGACTTTGCAGTTTTAATATATGAATTTAAACCTTTCAAGAACTTTATTTTATACATGGATACTACATTTCCCATTTTTCTTTTGACACGAGCACTGTTCAATTTTAAGAAGTCCACCAGACCGGTCCATATCCTCCAACTGCATTTCTTCACTATTTTTAGTTTCCTGAAAATCAAAGCAAAAGTAGTAAAGCTGCTTGGATGGTACGCCGAATCAGGCTTGAGCGACAATCTCTAGTAGCCGAATGTGGGAGGTGAAATGTTCTCTGAATTAAACATTTTAAGACAGGGAAAGATACGACGTTTCTTTGCTGAAGCAAAATTGTTATTGAGTGTGTTATTTTATAAATGCTTAGACTTCTTTATTGTGGCAAAAACACCTGATTAATTAGGTACGATGGGACCAAACGACGCACTTATCGTTTAGACTAAAATATCATCTTTTTACAACCGACAACCGTTACAACTGAGCGGGTTTTAGCTGAAATTGAGCGTGTGATTCAGTCCAATCATGAATTTCGTTTGAATGACAGTGTCAATGTCAATTTAATCCATGTTGAAATGCCCAACGGCGGTACCGGCACAAAACGTAGTGAAATCAATTTGGAAAAGCATTTTAATCAATAATGTTTCGATCGACATCAAGAAACTGTAGGAAATGCAAAGTGTATTTGTGCTTCTTTGGTAAAGTGTTTCAAATGTCATACTGTTGTAAAACGGGGTAGATTGAGGCGGCATCACTGCGGCTTGACACGTTGCTCGACATCTAAGGAATACGTCCGCCTGGAGAATCATCAATGTTACATGCAACCTGAGAAACAGAGAAACACGGCCGTTAGCGAGGACACTGACCTTCTCCACACTGAGGCACATGACGGAGATGACGCCCCCCAAAAGTGGGTACAAGGAATTGCTATTTTTCGATTTTGAGTGTCGCCAAGAAAATGGAAATCATGAACCCAACTTGTGCGTAGTGCAAAACGAAGCAGAATGAATTCTGTGAATGGCTTTTTACAAAGGAACATGCAAATTGTATCGTGTTGGCTCACAACTTTCAAGGATACGACGGTTACTTTATTCAACAGTACTTACACGAAAATGGCGTAATTCCCGAAGTCATTATGCGCGATGCCAAGATCCTAACGTTAAGTGTTCCATTGTTCAAGATTAAGTTTGTCGACTCTCTCAGTTTCATACCGATGAGGCTCGCTGATTTTCCAAAAACGTTTGGTTTGAACGAACTCGCGAAAGGCTATTTTCCCCATCTATTCAACACAAACGAGAATCAAAACTACGTTGGACCCCTACCACCTACTTCATTTTACCATCCTGATGGAATGAGTCCTAATGAGAAAGAAAAGTTTTTGGAATGGCATAATGGTTTGAAAGAGAACAATTACGTGTTCGACTTCCAACAACAGATCTTGACTTACTGTCGATCTGATGTGGATATATTACGTCATTCCTGTCTGGAATTTCGCGAACTGTTTTGTGATGTTACACACTGCATGCTTCACACCAATAAAAGTACCGGATAACACAGAAACTTTTACTCACTCACAAGAGGAATTAACCCTGACAAAGGTAGTTTTGCCTGTTAGGAACAATAGTGAACAGTCGAAAATAGGCGAGCTTTCCCATACGGGAAGCCGTATAAATCCTATTCAAAAAGAACAAAGCTGTCATTATAATGTTCCTGGTAGGCAATCTTGCTCTAGTTATTTACATGATCGTGGTCAACAATTTCGAAGCATTCCAGTACGTATCACTCACCGTCCACTGCCAGTGAACCCAGAGAAAGTAAATAAACATAGACGTGCGTACCGAAGTCAGGTTTTTCGACATCGACATCAGACGGACTGGCTCAGGCATCTGGAGCTGGTCCGCAAAGTAATTCGGTCATAAACTGTTTCTATTCTAACCTAATTGTTGTGCCTACGGTCCCTTCTACTTCTAAATGTGAACTTACAAACTTATTTGATTTTTCCCTTCTTAATGTCAGATCGGTTAGAAACAAGACTATGATTATTAAAGATTTTGTTGTGGATAAAGATACTGATATTCTTGCTTTGACGGAAACTTGGCTCCCTCCAAGTGGGAACGATTTGATTATTGGGGATCTATGCCCAACAGGTTATAGTTTTCCGCATACACCGAGACATGGATCAATCGGTGGGGGCGTTGGTCTCTTATTCAAGGAAAGTCTTAATATTAAGCGTAATGTACAGGAGGTATTTAGGTCATTTGAATACCTTGACAGTTCTTTTTTGAACTTTCTACATATTAGAATTATTGTTGTATATCGGCCGCCTCCTTCATCGGCTAACTCATTGACATCTACTCTATTCTTTGAAGAGTTCTCATCCTTTTTGGAAGGAATTATTGTATCACCCGGGCAACTCTTGATAGCTGGAGATTTCAATTTTCATCTGGACAATCCTAATGACCCTCTTACCAAACGGTTCGTGGATCTTCTCGCTTCCTTTGATTTGAAGCAGTACATTTCTGGATCAACACA